TGTGTGTGTGTGTGTGTGTGTGTGTGTGTGTGTGTGTGAGTTGATGCGTACATTTGTGTACATGGTCCTTGATTGACTGAGTGGGAATAAAGCAAAAGGTGGTTAGTAATAGTTGGGTATTAGTGCAGCAGACCAAAACTTTGCAATTAACTTCCACTCCTCTCTGAGATTGCACCTCCATCTACAAATATGGTATCCGCATACTCGCGCATACACAAACCCATGCTTTGTTAAAATTCCTCTTTTTCTTTTTAACTCTCAAGCCCTATGTGGCGTGTACACACATACCCTGCCACAGCCACACACAGACAGCCAGTAACTAGTTTACTCCTAATTCAGTACCTTGCAAGTTAGGGGAAATCCAATTACTAGTCTAGAATGACAGAGAAAGCAGGACCAGGAAAAATCATTTACCCAAAAATATGCTTCATAAATTAGCTGTCAGCTTTCATCAAATTACACTGTCAACAGCATTTCCACTGTGAACCACAAGCACACACGCACGCGTCACTATACACACTTGCTACTCTTCCACTTCCACTTTTTTCCCATCCAGATCTCATCTATTAGACTAGGGTTGGCATTTTGGAGCTAAACGAACCGTTAAATGGGAATTATATTCTGCCACCAGTGACACCCTTAATTTGAATCCTTGGCAGTAATTGTTCTAATTGCCTGACCCCTTTCTCACCTCCTGCACCTATTCTGTCCTTTTTATCATTTTTTATCACCTCTCTCTCTCGCACTCAAACATCCACAAATTCCTTCTCGCTCTCGAATGCTCACTTGATGGCACGATTGGGAGATCCAATAATCGGGGACCTCGATGCTGATGTGTACAGTAACACGCAAAGAAACACGCGCACACAAGTACATAGAGAAAAGCAATATTTTCCTTCTCTTTCCTTCGGTCCTTCTTCAGTGTCATTTTCCCTCTCCCCACTGCTCCCTATAATCTTCTGCATGCACATTTATCAATTTCTAGCTATCTATTCTCTCCTCTTCCTTCACTCTTATCTCCCCTATTCTCTCATTGTTCTCCCCCCTCCTCCAATTTAACATCTCAAGTCTCCATTTTTGCCTCATTCTCATTCTTCACCTCCACTTTTACCTCACGGTATTGTCTCCCTCTCTCTTTAAAACCACTTTTCCCATCATCCTACCTCTCTGCCCTGGTCTTCTCACTCACGCTGTTGAACACTTTTTCCATTAGTGTTAGAATCACAGCTTTTAGATAAGAATTAGCACCCTTCACTAATGATTTAGTATCATCAGTACTCCCTTCACCGCAAACAATCTGTAAACAAGCGATAGAGCAAGGCTCGCACAAACAAGCCTTTGTGTAGATGCAAACATGGATAAAAACACACATCCATAATTCCCTCTGATACACACCCTCACACCTACAAAGGAGTTTGGATATCATTCCCTTGTTTTTCTAGTGCGTTTGCTCCTTCATCAGCTTGTGTCCTTGAAGTAACCCATTACAGTTCCCAGTAAATCTTACAGTTTGTATATTTAGTATTAGATTGCTTGTTTATTGTCATCAACACCCATCGGCTCAAACATCTGATAAGAACAATTGCTAAACATTTCATTGTAAACCAGACCGAATGTGGCATCTTTTTTTAGGATAAGTACAAATGTTTAAGGTTTTCTTCCTTTCTGTAATATCTGCAAGGGCAACCACAGTTAAGATAAGGTTAAGGTTATCATGAGTGTTTGTGTTTTTCTTTTTTCCTTTTTTTTGATTGAGACCTCGATTTTATGAGGTTTCGGGGATGTCTAAAGGGCCAGGCCTTTGTGGAGCATGATGCTTTGCCCATGTTTCATTGTGCCTATTTGGAGACCTCAAGGACATCCTGACTGCTTATCTGTTACTTCAGGAGATTCCCTGAACTATACCCTGCATTTCCTTATTATTTGAAAGGAAGAGGGGATGTGGGAGGGAGGTGTAAACATATTTCTCTGTAGTTGGATAAGCTCAGGATGACCATACTTCTGTAACATTTGTACTTATCTCTCTTCTTGATATCAAGCATTTCCTGGATAAACGTGGCCATATTTTATACTTTGCAGAAATGATCTCTTGCATGATGCAAGCGTATGGTCAAAGTATGATTATTCAGTTAAAGCACTTGCTTGAGATTTTTTTTAATAACACACTTCAAAAGGTAAGCTCTGAAGAATTTAAAGGTTTAGCAACATATGAGTGATGCAAGCCAAAATAAATGCCTCGACAAAGCAATAATATTTCTCCATATAATAAAAGAAAAACATTTATTTAAAAAAGGCAAACCGAAAAAAAATTTGGCCCCTTTTTTAAAGGGTTTTAGCCTGGCTTTGTTTAGCTACTTCATGGATAAAAATATTGCACTGCACCTCTTAATCTTTGATTTTATACACCTGAAAAATAGCACTGAAAATAGCACCTCCTTGAATTCAAACACCTGGCTATGCAATCTGCCTTTGCAAACATTTGTGAAAGAATGGTTTCTGAAGCGCTCACTACTGTACTGTAATAGGATGACACCTTTACAAAAAGTCATTTATCAAATTTCTTTCCTGCAAGATATTCAACGATCAAGTGGAAGTTGTATTACTGCAAAATTCCATTGTTCAGGAAGCAAAGTGGCAGATCATGTAAAGTTACAGAGCAGGGCAGAGGTGCATGGTATGGATTTGCATGGCTGAGCAGCTTATAGGTATAATGTGTAGGTAGCCCACTGCTTTTGTCCATATAGTGTATTTAGCATGTTTCCTCACAGAGAAACTCTTCTGATGCTCCATTTTCTCTTCCTCTCTTGTGTTGGTCAGAGACAGAAATGTCTAATGCCTGCAGGCAAGCGAGTGTGACGTTCGTGGCAACAGCTGTGTGCAGATCAAAAATGGATAATATATCGAGTGCCGCGTTTAAAGCGTGGAAGTACTAACCTTACTTTGAGTTGAATTCCGTAAAAAGTGGCAAAAACACTAGCGTCCGCTGCTCACTGCGTGGGAAGAAAACTTCTTTATACAGCGAGAAAAACCCCTAAACGTCTGAGCAAGCACCAAATACCTTGTCGCTGGAATGTGAAATTATTATTATTATTATTATTATTATTATTAACCTTCCACTGACCGCTGCAGCACAACTGCACCAGGGCAAACCTCCGCCTGCCCCACTCCTGCTATACAGGTGAAAATAGAGCAACATGACTGCTGAGTCTTTGATTTTATTTATTTTCTGCTGTGTTTTACTTGCATCTATTTGAAAGAGTGAGTGTAAACAAAAAAAACATTGAATTTTATATGCTGGAATATGCAGAAAATAGGTTTAAATGTTAAACAATTTTCTTCCAGTCAGAGAATGTTGCATATAATTTAACGTTTGCTTGATGCACAAAGTTAAAAGATTAAAACTAATAAAACAAGTTTTAAAAAGAGACTTTTTCATTTGATTACATTTTATATGAAAAAGTAGAATTGGGCTGAAAAATCTTTTGCTTTCTTACCTATTTAGGGGATAAATCATGTTTTAAAAAGTAACAAAGTAACTAATTACTTTTGAAAATAAGTAAACTGATTACCTTCCTTTTTTCGGGAAGTAATCAGTAATTAATTAGTGATTACTTTTTTCAAGTAACTTGACCAACACTGACTGATACAGTCACT